AAGCAGCCACTGCACTCCAGTCTGGGCGACAGAGTGAGACTCCAACTCAAAAAAAAATTTCATACCCAGTTCCCCCATGTTAATCATGAACAGTTTTCCATGTCTTTAAATACTATTTGAAAACTTTTTTTTCTATGAGTGGAGTTCTTACTCTGTTGCCCAACCTGGAGTACAGTGGCATCAACACAGCTTACCATAGCCTCAACCTCCTGGGCTCAGACAATCCTTCCATCTCATTCTCCTGAGTATCTGAGACTACAGGTATATACCACTGTGCCTGGCTAATTTTGCAAATTTTTTTACAGAGATGATATCTCACTGTGTTGCTCAGGCTGGTTTTAAACTCCTGGGCTTAAGCAGTACTCTCGCCTCAACCTCCTGAAGTACTGGAATTACAGGCATAAGACACTGCACTGGGACTCTGAAAACATTTTTAAAAGTTTTGTACAAATTTCATTGTATACATGTATCAAAGTTTACCTACAGATTATTCTGTTATATGTGGTTTTCATTTTTTATTGTAATATATAATATTTCTTTTTTTTTTTTTTTCTTTTTGAGTTGGAATCTTACTTCATCACCCAGGCTGGAGTGCAGTGGCACACTCACAGCCATCCCAGTGTCAACCTGCTGGGCTCTGGCATTCTTTCCACCTCAGTCTTCCAAGAGCTAGAACTATAAGTGTGCACTACCACTCCCGGCTAATTTTTGATTTATTGCAGAGACGAGGTCTCACCAAATTGCCTGGACTGGTCTTGAACCCTCAGGCTCAGGCAGTCCTCTTGCCTTGGCCTCCCGAAGTGCTGGGATTACAGGCTGAGCCACCAAGCCTGGCCAGTGTATAATATTTCAATGAACAATTTTGAACATAACTCTTGGGTTGAATGTGATTGTTTCCTTGAAATGGGTTCCTTGATGTCGAATTATTAGGTTATAATATATTTGGATATTTTAAAGACTTGTCATAAAAATGTCCTTGTGGCTTTCTAGAAATATAATCCAATTAAATTTTCTTCAGCATTAAAATTCCTCCAGCATGAGAGTGTCTGTGTTACTGGATTCTTGTTATGATGTATATTATTATTTTTTTAAGCTCAGGACCATTTAATTGGTATAGACAAAAATGAAATTTTACTGTTCCTTTAATAATTCTTAGATTAATTACGCAGTTAAACATTTTGTTGGTGGTTTTTTCCTTGTATAAAATGTCTTTTGAGCTGGGCTCAGTGACTCAACCTACCCCAGTACTTTGAGAGGCCAAGCTGAGTGGATTGCCTGAACCAGCCTGGGCAACTTAGCAAGACCTCATCTCTACAATAAATCAAAATTAGCCAGACGTGGTAGTGTGTGCCTGTAGTTCCGACTACTTGGAAGTCTGAGGTGGAAGGATCACCAGAGCCCAGCCTCCCAAAAAAGTCTTTTGTATTCCATGCCATTTTTTGATTTTTAAAATTTGTATTTCCTATTGACTCACAATGCTGTTTTATAGCTTATTTGTACTGTCTTCTCATTTATTGCAATTATTTCTTAGTTTGTTGTTTCTCTTTTAGATTTTTTTTAAAATCCTGTTGTATTCTAACTGGTTTATATTAATATTGACTTGTAGGATGTTGGTCTCACATTGGAGATCCCCAAGAGTGTCACTATGGAGAATGTGTAGTAACTACCACTCCTCCCTCAATTCAGAATGGGACGTACCGTTTCTGCTGTTGTAGCACAGATTTATGTAATGTCAACTTTACTGAGAATTTTCCACCTCCTGACACGACACCACTCAGTAAGTAATTAAAGTAACATACTTTTCTTTGTATTTCCTTTCTCCAAAGATTTGCAAAATATAAAAAAAATTCAGGGTTAGAAGGAACAAGAGGGAGAGTTCCAGCATCATAAGATGACATGTAGCAAGTACCTGAAATCCAGAAGATATGCACCAGGACTCCCAAGGCATCAGTACATTACCAAATAAGTTTGAATTAAATTTTAGTATATTTCTATCCTATAGAAAGAGAAATTTGAACCGTGCTCGGTGGCTTAGCCTGTAATCCCGCGCTTTGGGAGGCCAAGGTGAGTGAATTGCCTGAGCCCAGAGGTTTGAGACCTGCCTGGACGAGACCTCATCTCTACAATAAATTAAAAAAAAATTAGCCGGGTGTGGTAGCGCGCGCCTGTAGTTCCAGCTACTTGGAAGACTGAAGCAGAGGGATCGCTGGAGCCCAGCAGGTCGAAGCTGCGGTGGCCACTGTACTCTAGTCTGGGCGACAGAGTAAGACTCCAACTCAAAAAAAAAAAAGAAAGAGAAATTTGGCAGTTATTTAAAATATGGAATGCTTCATGAATTTGCATGTCATCTTTGTACAGGGGCCATGCTAATTTTCTCCATATCATTTCAATTTTAGTATATGTGCTGTTGAAGTGAGCATGAAATTTGGCAATATTAAGAAAACTACATGTGTGCTTACTCCTCCTAGTTTTCCCATTTCTAGGACTATGTCTGCAAGATACATCTTTAGTAGTACAAAAATATACATGCATTGAGTTAGTCATTGCAGTGTTATTTGTAACTGCACGGTATTAGAAAGTTAATGTCCAAGAATGGAGATTAGCTGAAATGTACTATGGTACATATGTATAATAGAGCATTAGCTATACAGTTGTAAGGAAAAAAAAAGATCTCTATGAACTGACATTGAGTGATTTCTAGAGATAATATTAGGTACAAAAAAGTGTATATCATATGCAGGTTTTTTGTGTAAGACTAGAAGGAAAATGAAACATATCTATTATTGACTTACCTCTACAAAAAGAGAGAAAGAAATAATAAATCAGAAAATAATGATGTTAGTTACTTATAAGGAATGCAAGGAATGGAGCAGAACAGAAAGGAGTGACAGTTCTCTGAATGTAACCTTTGAATGTTGTTTTTCTGTTGGTATCATGTTACGATTCTACATGTTTAAAAAAATTAAATCATTAAAGATGGTAAGGGGGTAGCCAGGCTTGGTGGCTCAGCCTGTAATCCCGTGCCTTTGGGAGGCTGAGGTGAGTGGATTGCCTGAGCGTGCGGGTTCGAGACCCGCGTGGGCAGCAAGACCTCATCTCTACAATAAATCACAAAATTAGCCGGGCGTGGTAGCACATGCCTGTAACTCCAGCTACTTGGAAGGCTGAGGCGGAAGGATCGCCAGAGCCCAGCAGGTCAAGGCTGCGGTGGCTGGGAGCGGCCACTGCACTCCAGTCTGGGTGACAGAGTGAGACTCCAACTCAAAAAAAAAAGAGATGGTAAGGGGGAAGAAAACCTCAGACTGAAAGCAAACTGAAATAAATAAACCCAATTGTCTTTCATATAAGTACAGTAACCACAGTGAAGGGAAAAATAAAGAACTAATCCAAGTGATTTACAAATACATTATTGGACTATGTACATTCTTTTGGACAAGATTGGTATAAAAGGTGGAAGGACAATTGCAAACAAATATTGAACTCTCTTTAGAAAATTTTTTTTTTATGATGTGGACAAAGCAATTCTGAAACAATTGTAGATATATTATAGAATTAAGAAAATGAGTTGATATACTTGGGAGCCAGGGTTCTTCTTGAAGTAATAGGAATACATAATTATCAAATGGAGGAAGACAAAAGAGAAACCTGTGCAAATAGATTGTAACTCAGGGTATTGGTAAGAACTTATGATTTTAAAAATATGCACATGTATGTGTTACATGCATTTATATGTGATCATGTATGGATGTATATGTCTATATTGATATGTATATAAATTTGTATACATACATGTATTTCTTAGTTCTGTAAAAGTCAAGAAGCCACAGTACTCAGTAGTAATGAGCATGCATAATGCCCAAATTTTAGTCTCTAATACCATTTTCTATTAAAAGCAACCAGGACCTCTTGGAAAAATGAGTTATTCCAGCACTGGAGCATCATGGGTGAAGATTAACCGGAAACATCTTATAATGTAATGTTTTATAATGCAGACAGTAAGGAAATAAATGCTCCAAAATATGATAGAGACTCCTCTGAAGGACACAGGAGCCAGCTTAAAGGAACTCCCACTAGCTAAATCTGGGTTAGTTTGAGTGCTAAAATAATTAAGTACAGTAATTAATTGTAAGCCATTGGAAGGAAAATGACTCATGAGTAGCATGCCAAGTGTCAAGTGGTAAATTAGGAATGCTGGAGTTGGCAAATAGTCATTCTGCAACCATCGTGTTAGGATTAGATCAAGCAAGAGTCATCTTAAATCTAGGGACACTTTTTTTTTTAAGTTAGAGTATCACTCTGTCACCAAGGCTGGAGTGCAGTGGCACACTCATAGCCACTGCACCCTCAACCTGCTGAGCTCTGGCGATCCTTCTGCCTCAACCTTCCAAATACCTGGAACCATATGCATGCTCTACCACACCCAGCTAATTTTTTTATTTATTGTAGAGACAAGGTCTCCCCAAGTTGCCCAGGCTGGTCTTGAACCCCTGAGCCCAGGCAATCCTCTTGCCTCCACCTCTTAAAGTGCTGGGACTACAGGTGTGAGCCACCATGCATTAGGGCACATTCAGTGAGGACCCAGGATATTTGCATGATTTTATTGTTGTTGTTGTAGTTTTGAGTTAGAGTCTCCCTCTGTTGCCCAGGCTGGAGCGCAGTGGCACACTCATGGCTACCCCAACGTCCACCTGCTGGACTCCAGCGATCCTTGCGCCTAAGTCTTCTAAATAGCCAGAACTACAGGTGGGTGCTACCGTGCCCAGCTAATTTTTGACTTATTGTAGAGATAGGGTCTCTCCAAGTTGTCTGGGCTGGTCTCGATCCCACGGGCTCAGGCTGAGCCACCGAGCCCGGCCATTTACCTGGCTTTAACGTGTCTCCAACATACTACAAGGAAAAATTGGTAATTATAAAATGAGAAAATTGAATACTTCTGGTCAGGTGATCAAAATTAACACCATTAAAGAAAGATAGATGGAAATCCATGATGCTTAGAGAAGGACACATTATCACTAATATGTACTATATTCCAGCCAATAATGCATAACCTGAATTCAGTCATGAAGGAACATCAGACAAACCCCAAATTAGGAATGTCATAATAAGGGGGATTATATTCTTCAAAAACATGAATGTCATTATAAGACAAAGAAAGACCATGGGAAAGGTCTGTATTAAAGAGGCTAAAAAGACTGGGCAACTAAGCAGTTGCTAACTTTCTTATATTGGATGGGAAGAATGTGATAAAGGACATTGTTGAATTAATTGGCAAAATGAATAATTAAAGAAAAGTGTTGTTTCAGTGTTAAGTTTACTGAAACTGATAACAGTACTGTGGGTTTATAAGAGAATATCCATATTCTTAGGAAACACTCTAAGAAATATTTAGTAATAAAGGGTCATGACATATATAACCTGCTGTTACATGTTTAAAGGAGAGAGACAAGGAGAGAAAGAGAGAGAGAATCAAAGCAAATAGGATGAAAGGCTAACAATAGATGAATCAGGGCAAAAGTACACGGTGTATTATTTGTACTGTTCTTGCAACTGTTCTGTAAGTTTTAAATTACTTCCCAATAAGTCTCTCCTTGTTGTTGTTGAGACAGAATCTCACTCTATCCCAGACTAAAGTGCAGTGGAGCAATCATGGCTCACTGTAGACTTGAACTCCTAGGTTCAGGTGATCCCAAGTAGCTGAGACTACAGGCACACACCACCATATCCAGCTGATTTTTAAAATATTTTGTAGAGATGTGATGGTAGCACTGTGTTGCCCAGGCTGGTCTTGAATTCCTGGCCCTCAAATGCACCATGCCCAGCCCCTAATACATTTTGCAATTTTAAAAGTTTTTTAAAAGTAAGATATAGCAATTATCAAAAAGTCTTTCAGTCAACAAATGTCAGTTTATACCCTAGGATCTTCAGTTTTGGGTTATTTCCTTCAATTTGAAAGCAAATGGAGCCAGGCTTGGTGGCTCAACCTGTAATTTCAGCACTTTGGTAGGCCGAGGTGAGTGTATTGCCTGAGCCCATAGTTTCGAGACCAGCCCAGGCAACTTGGCGAGACCTCATCTCTATAATAAATCAAAAATTAACTGGGCATGGCAGTGCATGCCTGTAGTTCCAGCTGTTTGGGAGGCTAAACCAGAAGGATCACTGGAACCCAGCAGGTTGACACTGGGATGGCCGTGAGTATGACACTGCACTCCAGCCTGAGTGACCGAGTGAGACTCCAACTCAAAAAAAAAAAAAAAAAAAAA